ATTCCATTGCAGCCATTCTGCTAATTCTGCCTTGTTCTTATACTTTCTAAACACAGGCAATTTCTTTCTACAATGCAGTCCTTAGTAAGCTCTGGGTCCATAACCTGTTAGAGAATTTTAATTTCTCTATTGGTGAAAAAATAAATCAGAAGCTCTTACAGTTGACTGCATTTAGCTGATTCAAAATAACTTCTTTATATTCATATAAAAATATTTACAATACCATACATTCTTCTTTACAGCAACATAGCTCAATTGAAGACTTCTTACAGAGAGATACAGAGACAAACCTGAGACTGGAAATCCAGCTCCTTACTCAGTACCATTTTGCACAGAGTCAGTAGCACTTTCTTCACATTGGCTGACAGAGTTACCACATGAGTCTTCCTGTTCATGAATATTCCAACAGTTGTTGTTGTTGTTGTTAACCCTGTAACCAGTGGTGGGATTCAAATAATTTAACAACCAGTTCCCACTGAAATCACAGAACCCTTTAAGAGGCGCATGCATAAAAACCAAACTAGGGCAGGAGGGGGGGCTGCCACATGCACTCCGCACCCAGGCCACTTCCTGCTTGTTGACCTCCCCCTGTTAGTTCAATGACCCAGCTGCCCGCCTGCCTCTTCCCTTTCACCCCCCTCCCAAGCCGGACTGCCATGCTATGAAGGATGAACCTTACCCAGTCCCTCTCTGCCGTTTCAGAGCCAGGGGGGAGTGACAGCGAAAGGCTCTGCTGCCACTGTGCAGCAACCACATCTGCCACTTGAAGGACTTTCTTCAGTCCTCACCACCCTTGGCGCCCCTGCTTCTCCCCACAAGTCACCTGCCCAGTGGTAGCCACCGCCTCCTTCTATGCTGACTTTCCCGTGGCTTGCACCATGACTGCGGGGCACAAACCTCCCTTGCCAGCTCCCCCCACCAGCCATGGTATCCATCTCCCAGCCTTTAAAATCCAGAGCAGACACTCAAATCATACTGGTAGCTACCATATCCTCAGCTGATCAGGAGGAAAATATGTTTCTGGATTTTAAGGTAGAAAAGTTAAGGGAGGGGGACAATTTCAAAGGGGTTCCTCGATAAAAAAGAGCAAAGCTAGGAGGGCCTTCGCATAATTTCAGATTGCACACCAGTTGCATCTGTTCCCAGACTGGGAAACACTTTTCTCACTCATGTCCTGGTCATCTTCCTTGTATAGTACTGTAATATGCTCTTCATGGGGGGGGGGAGCATCCAGAAGCTTCAATTACGCAAAATGTAGCACTCAGAGTAGTTATATGCACATTTACATCAGTACATGCTAAAACTCTGCTCAGTGAGCTATACTGGTTTTCAGTTGAAGTACAGGTGCAATTCAAGGTCCTGGTCATTACATTTAAAGCCCTACAGGGCATGAGACCAGGTTATTTGAGAGATTGCCTCTCCCTGGTAATATTTATCTGTCCCATCACGTCCAGAAGAGGTTTCTAAAAATCTAAGAAATTATTCTCTCCCTCCTTCACTTGGAATATATGACTGTCCCTGAAGAATTTATATTTTAAGCAATACATTTGAATTCCAGTTGATCTTCAGATTATAGAGAAGCAAAAGAGAGGGAAGAGAAATTATTCAACAGGGATTTAAAGATCTTGAATTAATGCCATCAGAAATTAAAGGAACAGTAAATGTACTGCTCAAAAAAATAAAGGGAACACAAACGTATAGGATCCTATTCTCAGATGCATTATCAACATGCCTTTGCTAACACTGAATTGGGAACAGCAAGCTTTATTGTTTTGTGTAGAGTCAGGCTGGCCCCTAATGGTTATAAAAACTAATTACCAGCCTTGTAGCAAAATTTAAGAAAAAAAGTGGAACGAATTGAGCCTTATTGAACCATGTGATTCAGTTTATATAGAGTTTATATCAGTTTATATAAAATAATCACTGATATTGGCCTAGAAAATTAACAGGTGTTTGTGGCAGCTGAGCCTGTCATCCAATTTTCTATTGGGTATGCATGTTGCACTAGGAAAAATGTCATTCTCCCAACATGTTCTTAATAAAAAATAAAAAGAATACAAGAATAAAAGAATACAATGACAATATATACTTGGAATTGGTAGCGGCAAATATTATTTTACTCTGTAATAGTAAAAATATAATAGAATGTATATAATAATATGAGAAACCAATGTGGCATAAATCAACTGTTCCAAGTCTTCTATATCAAACAATGTATTCAAATATTACTTTTGAAAACAATACACCAAATATTCTTGTCTAAATAAAAATTGCTGATGATATTATTCTGAAGAGATGAGTTAGCAAGTGGGGAATAACTTTGAATCATTCAGAATCTCTCAGCCCAGCTTAGTTCATATGATTGTTACAATAGTAAAAAAGAAAGGAAGATAACCTCTGCATTAGTTACTTGGAAAAAAGGAGACAAATGAATGTTTGTCTATAAATGAGTATGATTTTGCTTTTGCTGACTTGTATACCACTATAGAGATCGTTTATATTGCTATATTACTTTTCTACTAGACTTTGTTAATCATTATTTAAATTGGATATTCCTTCCTGAAAATTGCTACTGGACATCTTCATAAACCAGCCTTTCTCAATTTTAACTCCTCAGATATGTCAAAATTAAAGCTCCCATTGGCTATGTAAGGTTGGGAAACACTGCTATTGGCCACTGTTTCTTTGAGCTATCTGGATCCATATGTAGTCTGGACAGAAAAAAATAAACATCTTATGGTTATGAACTATTTCAAAATAGAAATACTGTCCCACAGCAGAAATAGGAATGGACTCAAACCCAAGACCAAGTTGATGTTCCAATTCAACATTCATATTGCCTACTTTGCTGTCTATGTGCATTCAGTTGCATATAGATCTACTCTGGTGTGTAAATATATCTCTTCAAAGTTATCACTCGTACTGTATTCAAAGAAAAATAGTGCTATTTTAAGGGCTATAATTCTACACTCATGATATGGGTATTCATAGTCATGTGTCAAAAAAGCCAAAATTGCACAACGATCAAAACTTCACACCTTGAGAAAAAGGGAATATTTGTGTTTCTTATCTAAAGAACATAGCAGACTTGAGACTTCGAGTAGTTGAAATCTAATTAATAAGAAATTAGTCTACAAAAATTCCTAAAAGTTCAGATTTATACTGAAGAATTCCTGCAGAATAATCCCTAAAGACTATTCCTAATTCTAAAATGTCAACTTCAGAAATAGTCTCTCGATTTGTCAAAGTGTTCATACAAACATCTTATTTTCTTTATTTTTTTGTTATTTCTAACATATCTAAGTGGCTTATTGTATCTCTAGTAAGCATACACCAATAGGTATTGTACAATGGGTTAATTATTTGTGTGTTAAAGCACTATTCCATGGTCATATAATAGACCATATATTTAGTTATTGATTGAGACTTCAAACTATTTAAGTGACTATAGTACTGTCAGCTTGAAGAAATAAATTGTTCTTAAAACCAAGCTTTATGTAGCAGAAAGTTCATTATCAACTGGGAAATACTTAAATACAGTTGGTCCCAGACCAACAATCACTTCCTTATTGGAGCAATTCTCTAGTACAATTAGCCTTAAAATACTTGTATACATTCAGCAATGGAATGCTGCACATAATCTAATATCTTATATAAAATGTACACATCTTACTTTTCAATTGGGAGTCACATCTTTATCATGTTAAATACTTGTGCTATGGGCCCTGCGGAACATTTCAGGAATGCACCAAACAGACAGGCAGAACAATTTAAAATTAGGATATGCATCTCTGTCTCACATTGGCCCACCAAGCCTTAGTCTGGCTAGAGACATAGTTGAATCCTTGTTATAGCAACAGATCAATGATCTAATAATAGTGTATTACAAATTACATCCATACAACTTGCATGGGTGGGTTATTTGTGGTTTATTGTTTTATGCAAATACTATATAACCACACTGCCCAGTGCTGGTGTATTGGCTAGATGATATAAACCTTTAATTTGCCAATTATCCTTTTGCATATGTAGAAACGTCTTTGCTTATTAAGGTATCAAACATGGTACATACATTCAAGGCACAGCATTGCCTTTCAAGTTCTAATACTAATCAAATGTTCAAAATGGACAGGAATTCAAGCAATGTTCTTAAGGTAAGATTTCAGGCTGAAAATTATAATATAGGCTGAAAACATTCCACATTTTAATTTCCAATGCTAATTGCACCCATTATCAAATTGGACAAGGAAGACGTAAATGCTATCCTTTAGCGTGTTTCAAGAACAAATGATATTAAAATGAAAGTTGTGGATTCTTCCTAAATTAACAGCTGAACTGTAAAGTATTACATCAAGAAAATCTCTCAATCAGGTCTAGCATTTCAGCACTTAGTGCCCCCCCCCCCCAAGATACATTGCTTTCTTGACAAGCAAGCCGTTAAAATCAATACAATAGATTTTTTTTTCCCCGGGACGTTGCACTTCACGGTTCCCAATAGTCTTCTATTGAGATATCAGGCTGATAGAATTTCAGAGTTCTTATTCACAGGCAGCCGGGTATACTTTGAAAAGATGGCAGATAATAGCCTAAATAGTTTCAGAAAAACAGTTTGTCTCAATGTCATGTCATATGGACTATTTATCCCCCCACAAAGCCTATTATTTTGTCATCGTTAGGAAAAAAAAATTGAACGCTAGAAATAGCAAATACTCCACAACACGAAGTAGTTTTAGATGAGGCGGGGGGGGAATAGGAGAAGACCATTTACTCAATTTAATCTTAAAAATACAAATCAGCAAAACGTGCTTTGAAGCACAGCATCGGCCTGTCTCTCGTCGCAACAAGCATAAAAAAGTAGATCCAGCTCTTTGGAACCAATAAGAGGCGGTGGAGGGTAGGGACTATCGTGTGCTTAACCAATGGGCAGAGTCGTTATGATTGTTGTAGGTTGTTTCAGTCCGCAACTGAATGAGGAAGTGGTGAGGTCGGAGCGGGTTGGTAGAAGTCTAGAGCCGGGAAAGGGGTGGAATTCAGGGTTGTTTGGGGACCTGATGGGTAGTTAGTGGTGTTTGTGTCGCAGAGGAAGCCCCGATCAGATGAAAGGAAGGAGACTTTCCACCGGCGGTTTCTTGGATCAAGTGATCTGTGGTGGGGAATATGTGTGTTAAGTGAGGAACCGGGAATCAAGAAGACGGAGGGTTGTAGGGTTGAATTGAAATCCTTCTGCTCCGAATCAGTGACCAGTATGTGCTTAATATTGAAATCTGCAAGTACCGGAAATAAAACATGACAGGGATATCTTAATTTCAGTTCTCACTGTGAGGAATTGGCTAAATCAGTGTGGATCGTCTTTCTTCTTTAAAAAGGACGAAATTTTTTGGCAACTTGGTCTCTCATCCTCTTGAATCTGAAAGGTTGAGGAAAAAATAGGGAAAGGTGGCTAAATGGATTAATGGCTTTCCTGCACTTCTCTATTACAGCCACTCAGCCTCAACAGAACATTACACTTGCAGCAAATGGGTTATCTCTTTTACTAATCCTTGCCCTATCTCTATTACCTCTCTTTCAGATCAAAGCAGTCAACTGGCTTCTCTCCAAGGTAATGAGCAATAAGTCCTAATAGATTTTATATGCCCAAAATTGTACTTGGACAGTGCCAGAATAAGGGGGATATATTGCTTTGGTATATGGGCATCAGGCTGTCTCATTCAGGGGCCTAAAATTAGTTAAAAGAAGTGTCATGGAAGCACATGTTCGAACATGTCTACACAATTACTTGTCTTTCCCTTAAGATGGCCAAATGCAACTAAGGAAATAAGATACAATTCTACTTTTTAAGGTAACTGGTGGTCCTTTGGATGTTTCTGAAGTACAGCCTCCAAACTTCCTCACCTTTAGGCTTGCTGACTAGAAGTTGCAGCTAGAAGCATCCAGAGGAGCATGGCTCTCTCCTTCCTGTCTGCCTTTTAGATAACTCTTGTTTGCATTGTAGTTATTGTGCAGCCTGTAGGAATGTTTCTGGATGTGCTTTTCTCATATTAGCAGTTGAGCTAGCTGAACTAGCACTTTGATATGAATTGGTTACTGTGTTTAGAAATGCATAGCCAAAAAGAATTCATTCTTTGTTGGGCTAAATTTCATTTTGAAACATGACAGTAGAATATCACAAGATAATAAACTGACCGCATATTCTAGGATGAGATAGAGTTATACTTCAGTAGAAAAAAATTGTGCTACTTTTAAAGAGCTGTAGCTCATTGCCAGGATATAAATGGTTTTGTTTGGAATTGTATGCTTACATCTTCTTTAGGGAGAAATTTGTCATATTTTGCAGCATTCGGGTCTTTTTTTGAAGAGATAAACTTCCTGAAGTTCATAAAACATGCTAAACCATTATGTAGTTTCTTTAGTTTTATTTTAATAAATCATTGTTGAGCAAATCACGGCTGAATGATATCTGAACATAGTGTATGATGTATGTGTATAATGGCTGAACAGTGTAAAACTAGATGATGTTTCCTTCTTACAAGCTAATCAGTCTGATTTTGAATTACTATCTAATACACGCATCCTGGTAAACAGTTTCAGTTCCAGTGAAAGCAATATCTGGGTCAAGGGCTGTTTTCCTCCCTCTTTCCTGAATGATGTCATGGTGAGGGTAAATGCTTGGTTTCCATTCACAGATGTCATATAGCTGTTAAGGAAGAATTGCTTCTTGAGTGTCTGGAGTATCTTGAAGTGATGCCTCCTTGATTGCCGCTGTTGAAGGCATTCCCCATTGAGAGTGTATTGAAGCACTATTTATCAGAGCTAGTGTTATTATTATTTCGCATCACAAACATACTGTGACATGACTGCTTGCATATGTTCACCCACAGATGTCAAACTCGATAGGTTATGTGACTTTTCCGCCTGCCGGGGGGGGGGCACCAGTTTGACACCCCTGTGCTAGCCACTTAGATGTGCTTGCTCCAACGATGATTTGATTTTCCTATGCTTTTTCTTTTGGAGAAACACCTGGAATACATCTGGAATCTGTGCCACATGTGAGAGTTCTTTCAAAGATCCATTCTGAGTTAGCTTTCCAAATGGGAAAATACAGGAACAAGAAATATAATTTTCTCTTTAGAGGGTTGGAAAGAGGTAGTGCTTAGAGATGGGATAAAAACTTGTTCCTGGAAGCCTCTCTAAATAAGTATAGGACCGGTTGAGGATCAAGAGAAAAAGCCATAGTTAAGATATTGATCAGATAAAAAATCTGAGTCGGAGCAGATGTAAATTTGAAAAAGAGTGTCCATTGTTGTCATTAAGATAAAGGGATGGAATGAAGTGCTTTCAGATTTTCAAGATTATGTTATTATAGTCTTACAACAAAATTAGTATGAGCTTGTACGTCTTTGATTTCCACATTTGATCTATTTTAGAGAACTGACACTATCTCATAGTTCTCAGACTAAAGATTATAGGCTTTATAAACAGCTATAGAATGGTGGAGAAAATAAATGTATTATTTACAGGTTAAATGTAAGAGAATTCTATGATATTCCATGCTGTTTCTATGATGAATTAGTTTGTATAAATTAAATGCCTAAGTAATGCTTTCTTTGGTTCAATTTCAAAAGATGGAAGCCTTTAACAATTGTACTGGACCAGGTGGAGATTTGGAACAGCAAAACTGCAAAAGTGAACATTTCTTCTATTTTGCCTATGGTAGTAACTTGTTGCGGGAAAGAATAATGTTAAGAAACCCTTCTGTGGTTTTTCTTACCATAGCACAACTACTGGTTTGTACTGTCTTTGACTCCTTCTTTTCTAGAAACCGATATTAATAAGAAATTAATACTTAAAGTTGTAACTATATAATGTAAGGGATGTATGTTGAATATTCACCTCTGCCTCTGTTGAGTTTGTTTCTATGATTATTTTTACCAGGAAAAAAAAAGGTTTAGCAATGTTTACCCATAATGTTTGAAAGCCAGTTAATTGCCCAATTATCTGTTTGTTATTGCAAGCATTCAAAATACAGATTTCAAATCAATTTCCAACTACAGAAATATGGCTCATTGTGACTTTTTCCCCTTTTTGATCTCATTTCTAATTATTTTTTTCTATAGATGGAATTTTAATTAGGTATGTGACCTAAGAAACAATTTTTCCAGTCTGCTTGTTTTGTCTTTCTAAATGTTGTTTCATTCACTACATTATAGAAAAACAAGAAACCTAAAACTGGAGATGACTGATCTTCCTGTTTTAATTCACAGGATTATAAACTTGCTTTTGGTTCTCATCAAGGGAGACTAAGTCATCAGTGGAAAGGAGGTACAGCTACTATTGTCTATAGCCCTGGTGAAGAAGTATGGGGGATAATATGGAAAATGAATACTAGTGATTTATGTTCTCTGGATAGGTGCGTTTATATTGTTAAGATCTTATTCTGAATGTTTGTTGTATACCTCTCAAGATTTGTCCAAGCTAAAAAAAACCTCTAATTACAGAGGTTCCCAGTATAGGTAGTCCTCGACTTACAACAGTTCATACAGTGACCATTCAAAGTGAAAAAGTGGCTTATGACCATTGCAGCATCCCCATGGTCATGTGATCAAAATTCAGATGCTTGGGGACTGACTCATATTTATGACTCAGGGTATCTCAGGGACATGTGATCTTTTGTGACCCTCTGAGAAGCAAAGTCAGTGGAAAAGCCAGATTCACCATGTTGCTGACTTAAAAACTGCAATGATTCACTGAACAACTGTTGCAAGAAAAGTCATAAAATGGGACAAAATTGGTTTAACAAATGTTTCACTTAGCAACAGAAATTTGGGGCTCAATTGTGGTTGTAAATTGAGGACTACCTATATTGGTATCAAAGTAAAATGCTTATTACAATTTGACCAGTATAATTAAACTTCGAAATGGACTCCTAGCGCTTGCCACATATTTTAAAAAATAATCTAGGGCTTGGTTTATTTATATCCCACCATCCTTCCCAGATTTCCAGATGATACCCATGTTATTTCTGCCTCCAATTTTATCTGCACAACTAGTACTGTAATGTCAGTGGAATTGAGAAATTGTCATCTGATGAGCTTCTGTGGCAGAGAGGTAATGATAGCGGTAGAACTGCATGTGGATCTTTCTAGTTCTAGCCCTAACTCTATTTAATTCATTTTGAAAGCATGCTAGGATGTATGCTTGGCTGGACCACAAATAACAGAAAATGAAAGGAGAAAATATTGCTGTCCTTTGCTCAAGTTGGTATTGATCATACTGCCTTGTGACATACTGAAAATAACTTATGTGAACTTTCATCTTAACTGGAATTGGGTTATATGTGAACTTTTCAAGCTTCTAGAAGAAGAAAATGTCAGGTTGGTTTTGAGTATAATTTCCACAATTCCTGAAGTTGGCCATGGAATTCTAAGTCCTGGGAATTGTAGTACAAGATGTCTGTAGAGAATCTAGTGGTCTAACTCTTTTTTAGACCCACATAGACTACACAAAGATAGTGCTGATCATATCTCCATTTGAACAAAAGTTAGAGTGTTAGTGGACTATTATCTCATAGGATTCCAAGGAGCAGTTCTAAAAAAATGGTATTAAAGATGTTTTGTTTCTTTTGTTCTTTCATGTACATGTAATTTTCATTGAGCAGCTGAGATTGCTATTTTCTGGATGCAGCCTTAACTATCCAATATTGGGCATTGTTTGCCTATTGTTTCAAGAATGATTGAGAAGTCTTTTAAGTCACTTACTAAGAGGTGTTACTTAATACTTTACTGAATAAGTAGCTGTTTCCAGGGGATAGATATTTACTTGGCATGGCATTTCTTTTTCCATTTCAGACAAGAAGGAGTAGAAAATGGCATTTATATTCCAATTGAAGTAACAGTTCGGACTCAGGATGGGAAAATAGTTAAATGTCGTAGTTATCAGATGAATGACTATGTCCACGATCTTCCTTCTCCACAATATCAGAGGGTACTGTATTGCCTTTTGCAATTCTATGGACTAAGGACTCATTTTCCTCCGGCAGTTCATCATCTATTGTAGAACAACATGCATAATATAAACGTAATAGAAGGAAACTAAAAAAAAGTAGTTTCACGTAAAAGATTAAACTAATTTGAATACTGTTGCAGTTAACTAATATGTGAGTATATTTGATTTATGACATTATTATCAAGGGTAGATTAATAATTATATGTACATAGCTGGACATATTGATTAATAATAAATTTTATTGCAAGCACTAAAGCTTTGCAATACAGTTTCCTTTGGCAGCATAACTCAGTTTCTTTTTTGTATAGGACTTTTACTCAGAATAAATTATAAAAGACTACTCTATGTTTACTATAAGTTCTCTTAAGCCCCTTTCTCTCTTTTTCTCTCATTGATATATATCTACGAAAGATTTGCTGCATTGAAATAAGGTGCTTCCATTTGCGTGTTACACTGGGGTTTACTGCTTGGTACAGGGGTCTAGCCAAACTTATTTTTCGTTCCTGAAAACTGGCAGAAACTGATCAGACATATGAAGTCAACATGCATCTTTCATCATGTTGGGCTAATGCAGTGTTTCTCAACCTTGACCATTTTAAGGCATGTGGACTTCAACTCCCAGAATTCCATAGCCAGCAATGCTGCTGTGGAATTCTGGGAGTTGAAGTCCACATGCCTTAAAATGGTCAAGATTGAGAAACACTGGGCTAATGGATTCTCAAAAACTGCTTCCCATTATTGTAACCATGGCTGTAAAGGAGGGATTTTCTGAAGCTTTGTACTTTTTACTGATCCCCCAGAAAAATATTTTAATAATCCTGTTGCCTTGAATCCATTGCAGAGCCATCTTAGATTGAAATCTTCATCTTACGTTCATATTTTTGTCCAGCACATAACTGATAAGATGTTTGGACTGTAAAGGATTTTGATGTAGAATTGGTTGCAAGGCTGAATATAGGTAGTCCTCGACTTACAACAGTTCATTTAGTGACTGTTCAAAGTTAAAACAGCGCTGAAAAAAGTGACTTATGACTATTTTTTATTGCAGCATCCCCAAGATCATGTGAAAAAAATTCAGATGCTTGGCAACTGACTCATATTTATGACCGTTACAATGTCCTGGGATCATTGATTACCTTTTGTGACCTTCTGACAAGCAAAATCAATGGGGAAGACAAATTCACCTAACAACCCTTAACTTAACAACTGCAGTGATTCACTTAAGAACTGTGGCAAGAAAGGTCATAAAATGGGACAAAATTCGCTTAAATGTTTCACTTAGCAGCAGAAATTTTGGGCTCAATTATGATCGTAAGTCGAGGATTACCTGTATACGTGTGGTAGTAAGAAAATGAATGGGATGGTTGAGAATATATTTTCAAGTAAGTTGACCCTGTAATTCCTTCCAACCTACACTTATCATTCTTGTCCATGGGGAATGGAAAGGTGGGTCTTCTGAATTCTAATCTGCAAAGCAAAAGATGAAAAAAAAAACTACCAATATTTTGTCTCTTCTCTATTCCTGTTTTTTTTTTTACCCAGGGGAATGGTGACAAAGAGGCCATGTCCAAACATTTCTGAAGATAACCTGCCAATATTTATATACGTGTGTTGCAGTGTAAATAGCTGAACTTGTATAACCTGCTATGAAATTTAATAAATGTTACTGCATGTCTGGAATAGTCTTGCTGGCAATCAGTTGCAAACTTCAATGTGGTAATTACAGATTAGCTTCATGCCAAGACAGTTATGCCCTGATCCTTGCATTTTGAATCTTTCCACATTATACTAACAGAGGCTGTTCTCTTATCCTGAAACATGCACAAGTCTATTCCTTTTCATTATATGTGCTTCCCATAATACTGGACCAACAGAAACATTCTTTTACATTCTAATATATAACTACAATTTCTGTCCTTTTCCCCATCATTCAGCTACTGAACTGTAAATATATAAAATAGAAATTATTTATGTTACTCAATGTCAGCAAGCATTCCCTTGCCAAGCTGATATTTTGGATTTTTTCCCCAAAGTATATACCTAAATTTTGATTTACACAAGTCCCTCCCCACCAAAACCCTGCCCTCTTGGAATTTGTTGGATTCTATGGAATGAATTGCAAGTGCTTTTGTATCTGTGTTGCTCAATCTACACCAATACCAAGAATGGTTTATACTGACTTCTTGATGGAGCTAATGAATGCAGCCAGGTGTCTCTTGTCACTATTTAATCTTCAAGTGAAGTTTATTTGAAGCAGCTATAATACATTTCCTCATCCTTCTTCCATTTATTTGTGTAAGTAATAGAAATCTAATGATGGAACCTTTCTATTTTTGTTCTTATAGGTCATCTGTTTGGGTGCAAAACAGAATGAATTGCCAATGGATTATCAAAAGAAATTAAATTCTATAGAGACTAACAACTATGCAGGACCTGTACCAGTGTTTGAAGAAATTAAAGCTGCTCTCAGTGTGTCAGGGAAACAAAATAATGAAGATCAATTTTAGCATAACTTGCTTTTACTGTCTTGGAATCTTGTGTGTCTATTTCTCTTGTATTATAATAGCCTAGATATATTTAATGTCAAAATGACCAGGGGATACCATATATACCATAAGGTGTAATATGATCCTTGATTATTCACTAATATAAAATTCATTGTTTTCCTTTAAGCTTTTCTGTTTCTGTATTCTCTGCAATATTCTCTGAGATTGGGAATGGTTTCCAAATTTTGCTTTAATTTGCAAGTTTCTGTACCGGTTGAATCCAGCTGCTAAAAGGTTATTACAGGCAATCTTGGATATTACAGGTAGCCCTTGTTTAACAATTGCTAGTTGAACAACCATTCAAAGTTACAACAGCACTGAACAAATGCTAGTTATGACGTTGCAGCATTCCTATAATCATGTGATTAAAATTTGAGCATTAGGCAGCCCATCCACCTTTATGACTACAGCATGAGCTTCAACTCACTCCACTTGTCTATCTCCCATTGTAAAGCTCAGCTGTCAAATGATGTTTCATTTACTTAGCAATGGAAATGCCATCCCAGTCTTAAGAATCCAATTAGGGTGGTTAAGCAGGGACTAAATATATGTTAACTTTGCTATGATGGACCGTTATTATCCCAGCCTCCAGTAATCAATCTTTTTAAACAGTTGATTTAATCACAACTTATTTTTCTGTATTAAATATATATTACTGAACTGGGAATTGTTTTTTGCTTTGTAAAAATATATATACTATTTATAATTCCATGAAATTCCCTTTTCATATTAGAGATGTCCCTATGTTGGACAATAATTCTAGGGTTTAGAATTCTTAGAAGGAATTGTAAGAAAAGATATTTAATACAGCTGCAGGACCTAATAAGATAAATCAAAACTATCTTTTTTTATAGATGCAGGAAGTCTTGTGCAGGATATTATATGAGTGCCCAACATGGATCTTTGTAAACGAACAAAAAGCATTAACTAATTCTCACCCCTTCACCTTGACCAGTGAGCCTTTCAAAACAGTTTTATTTTAAAACTTAGTAGCAGAAGTGTTCAAAGAGCAGCCTATAATGATATTCTGACTGACATTGGGAGTCAGGAGCCAGACTAGACAATGGTTTGTAAAAAATGTCTCAACCCACAGGAGGGAAGACATGGCTTTTGTCTCAGAAGGGACCCCATTCTAGTTTTGCAACGAGCAAAAGGAAACAAAGGAAAATACTTTTGATCTTGCAAGAGGCTGTTAATCTAAGCTCCCATGAAATCTAGGGCTAAGTATTAGTTGTCTTGTAGGGTAGCTGCATACTGTGATCGTATGACCTACAGGTAAGGTTTAAATTTTATAGAGACATAGACTACTTGCTTTTAGGCAACGTTGCTGGTCTTAAGAACAAGAACTATATACTATGGGAGCTTCCGGTGGGAGGCGTCGGCGATGGCGGCTAGCTTTTAGCCGTCCAGCTGGGGAAGTGTTAGAGCCGCGGAGCGCAGCGCGCATCAGCTGGCCCGCGGCTCGGAAATCCCTTCCCGGGCAAAGGGAAGGGATAGAGAACGCCAGAGTAGAGGTAGAACCCCTGAACCCCCTCTGGATTTATTTCTAGAGGGGGTGAAAGGAGTGTTCCCTCGGAGCTCTTGATGATCTCCGCCTCCCAGCTGTTTTTGCTTCCTTGGAAGCAAAAGAAACCGCCGCTTCTATCTCCGTGTTTACAGCATTTTGGTGAGTAATTTTTAAACGGACGGAGCAGTTTAAAGGACTTTTTCTTATAGTTTAGGTGTTTATTTTTTTATCTTTTGATTTTTACTATTTTTCCTCCTTTTCTTTGTTATACTAGTGAAAGGACTTAAGATGGCGTTTTGAAAGTGTCGGAGTTTTTTGTTCCTTTCTCTTTTGTTTTACTTTCCCTTTTTAAGGATTGTTTTTTGCTTTTGCTTTTGCTTTTGGCTTAGAATTTTTTTTTTGAATTGTTTGCTCTTTTATTAATTATTCTTGGGATTTATTCTGGACTTTTAATGATTATAGTTTGTCTCTTTTTAAAAATTCTTTTTTTCTTTTTTTCCTCCTCCCTTTTGGGCTGGAGGGGAAAGGGAAGTGACAATTGTGCTTTTTAAAATGGCTTCAAAGAGGCAGCAGCCTTCCTCAGTACCCAAGGTTATTTCTTCTCCTATAACTTCCACTGCACAGCTACAACAACAATCTAAACATGCACCACCGGCTCAGACACCACCCTCCCCTCCTCTACCTGGACTTTCAGTGCAAGAGGTTAGAGGCATAATGGGAGAGATTGTAGTTCAAATGAGAGAGGAAATGACTCAATTTGTTTCACAGATTAAATCAGAAATTAAATCTGATCTCAAAGAAGAGATAACGGGGATAAAGTATAAATTGCAAGAAAATAATAATGAATTACGACAAGATATACTGGCAGCTGTTTCAGGTTTGGCTACTGTGGTGGTTAAGCTCGATGCAAGGCTTGAGGAAGTGGAAGACAAAGTTGACTCTTTAGATGACACAATTCAAGACGTGGAAAGGAAGGTGGACTCCTCACAAGAAGATATTTTGATGTTTCAATACAGACAAATGGAGTATGCTCTGAGGATTAGAGGCCTCAAGGAAGATATGAATCAAGATTTGAGGGAGGTGGTTCTTAGTGATCTGGCGCTGGCTTTGGATATGGATAAAGGAGAATTACAGAGAGAAGTAGAAAAAATTTATAGACTCAACTCCTGGATTGCTAAGCAGAAGAATTTGCCCAGAGATGTGGTGATTTACTTTACAAAGAAGTCCCTGCGGAATGAGATTATACAAGCTTTGTACAACAAAAGATTTCAGATTGCCGCCCAAGATGTCATCATTCTAAAGGAAATCCCATCTAAAATTTTAAGAAGTAGGAAAGACTTTGCTTTTTTAACCAATGAGCTTAAAGCTAGATCGATGCCATTCAGATGGGAAATTCCGATGGGTATCGTTTTGAGCCATGCTGGGACACGTTACAGATTGAACACAGTTGATAAAGCTAGAGATTTCTATACTTCTGGTCCTGAGTGCAGGCTCAACTTCATCTGGTCGGAAATCTTTGAGTGCTAAGGAACCTGAGCAGCAATCTGAGGCACTAGATTTGGTTTCCGCAGGGATGATAGAAGTGGCAAAGCAACGCCAAACGGAGGCTAAAGAGCAGAGGATGACTCGTGCCGCTTATAAGCGTAAAGAGAAAGAGCAACGTAAAAAAGAGCCCAAAGAGAATTCTCCTGGAAGTGCATCACCGCCGGTGGGAGGAGCAAGACCCAAGAGGTATGCAACACACGCAGCTCTGTCAGAGTTTGATGGTGTCTTCTCCAGGCTGCGTGCCAAGGGAGATGGCAAAGTTTTTGACCTGGAATGTTAAGGGATTGAATTCTCCTCAGAAACGGAAAAAAATCTTTTATTATTTGAAACAACATACCAATGATGTTATTTGTTTACAGGAAACTCATATTCTACTTAAAGATCAGAAATATTTAGTTAATGCTCGGTTGGGATCTCATTTTATATCTCCTGCACCTGGGAAGAAAGGGGGAGTTGTTATATATGTCAAACAAAACCTGCCAGCTTGTCTGGTAGAATCAGATCCCCAGGGGAGATATGTGATGATTGAACTTGGTATGTATGGTAAGAAAGTACTTATAGTTGGACTTTATGCTCCAAATCAACAACAGGAACAATTTTATAAACAGTTACACCAAAAAATAACTTTGCTTGATTATAGATCGGTGGTATTAATGGGTGATTGGAATGGTGTATTAGATACACAAAGGGATAAGAAAGGTTCCTCTCCTTTTCTTAAACAAGCAAGGCTACCTAAAGCCTTTTTTGATATGAAAGAAGACTGGGAATTAAGGGACTATTGGCGGGAACGTAATCAAGAGGAGAGAGACTTTACTTTTTTTTTCTGACAGACACCAATCTTTCTCAAGAATTGACTTTTTCTTGATTACCACGGATTTGTATAATAAAGTAAAGAATGTAAAGATTTTTCCTAGATCACTGACGGATCATAGTCCAGTTTGGATGGAGTTGATTCAAGAGAAAGAGGAAAGAAGATCCTGGCGAGTTAATGAAAATTTGTTTAGACAAGAGAAGAATGTTCAAAAACTAAAGGAGTGTTTAAAGGACTATTTTGCTTTGAATATGTACAAGGGGACTTCAATGTCAATGGTATGGGATGCAGGTAAAGCATATATGCGCGGTGTTTTGATAAAAATGAATAATTTTTATAAGCGAAATCAGATTCAGAAACGTAGAGAACTTGAAGATGAAATTAAACTAAAAGAAAGGGCTTTGATTCTAAATCCTTCTGATGAAAGTAATAAAGAATCTGTAAAGTTATTAAGGTCACAATTTAATATGTTGATAGCAGATCAAGCTGCAACCAATTTATTATTTATGAAACAAAATACATTTTTTAATGCTAATAAGCCGGGGAGATGGTTGGCTTATCAATTAAGAAAGAAACAGAGACAGAGAATAATAGAGAAAATAAATTAAAAGGGTAAACTAGTTTCTCAGAAGGAATTAATTAAAAAATCTTTTTTGGATTATTATCAAAACTTATATAAATCTACTAATGTACAATTGTTAGATATAAATAAATATTTAGCTGAGGCACGTTTTCCTAAACTGACTGAGGATCAGAAATATGAAATTAATGGCTTAATTACTAAGGAGGAAATTGCCTCAGCAATTCAACAATTGAAATTAGGGAAAGCACCGGGTACGGATGGGTTAACAGCTGTTTATTATAAAGCTTTAATGGAGGAGATGATTCAACCATTAAATGATCTTTTTAATGGTATGTAAATAAGACTAAAATTTTACCTAAAAATTTGTCGAGTCAGGAGAAGCAGATTCTGGTTAACTCGACAGGTTTTGAGATTGTTAATAAGGTAAAATATTTGGGGGTGATGCTGTCTGTTTCTAATGCAAAACTATTTAAAAATAATTATGAAAGGTTGTGGGTCGGGGTACAGAAAGACTTGAAGAATTGGGAAAAGCTGCAATTATCCCTCCTGGGAAGAATTGCAGTGATAAAAATGAATATTCTACCCAAGTTTCTTTTTTTGTTTCAAATGTTACCAATTTTGAAAAATGAGATTAATTTAAATGAGTGGCAGAAGGGTCTCAATAAATTCATTTGGGCAGGGAAAAAACCAAGGGTTAAGTTCAAAATTATGCAAGACTTCCGTGAGAGGGGCGGACTCAAGGTACCAAATTTGAAATTATATTATGATGCGGTGGTTTTAACATTAATTAGTGACTGGGTAAATTTGACAAACTCTGAGATACTTGATCTAGAGGGATGGGATTTACTTTATGGGTGGCATGCCTATTTAATATTTAATAAAAAAATAGATTGGGCTTTTAAATCTCATATTTTAAGAATTTCTTTACTTAGGATCTGGAGAAACTATTATAAAAGTGATTTTAAAGTACCATTATGGGCTATACCTTGGCATGCGATAGAAGGAATAAAAAGAGGGGTTAAAATGGATATGGTGTCTTACAGACAGTTACTAAAATGGGATGGACAAAACTGGCAATTAAAATCACGGGAAGAATTAGCACAAGAAAATTTTACTTATTCTTGGTTCCAATATAGGCAACTACTAGATAGATGGAAGATGGATTGCAAGGTGGGTTTTCTTAGAGAAGATGAAAATCTTATTAAGCAACTGAAGGATCAAAGACAAACCCACATTAAGAGAATTTATGGGGTTTTAGTTGAATTGGACTCAGAAACGGAACTAATTAAAGATTGTATGATTAGATGGGCGCAGAACTTGGGTGAGCCAGTTTCATTGGACACCTGGGAAACTATTTGGGTGAGAAATGTCAAATTTACTCAAGCACAGAAATTAAGGGAGAATTTTTATAAAATGTTTTATAGATGGCACCTTGATCCACAAAAAATGTCTTATATGTATCCTGACGTGCAACCCAAATGTTGGAGATGTGGTTATAAGGAGGCTTCTTATTATCATATTTGGTGGTCATGCAGAGAGATAAAAGCATTTTGGATTAAAATATGGTGGAATATCAAGAGAATTTTTAGAAGGAGGGTAAAATTTACTCCGCAATTATTTTTGTTAGGTATTGTTACAGATTGTGATACAAAGGAGGTTGTATTGATGTTAAATTTGATCACAGCCGCGAGGCTGTTAGTTGGACAATATTGGAAGAAGGAATCTTTGCCTACATTGCAGGAATTGTTTTTTAAAGTAGCTTATCTGGCGGAAATGGCAAAGATTTCGGCTTTCTTAAAGCAACAAACGCAAGAGAAGTTTTTTGCTATTTGGGACAAATGGATAAAATTTATACAATCTAGATTGGGTATACAAAAATATCATATAGCTTTTTCATAAGTTTTATTTTCATATATATTATAGATATCTTTTTTTATATATATAAATATAAAGTTTTTATTTTAATTTTTATTTTTATTTCTTAAGCCTATATTCTGCTCTGGGAAGCTCAGGGGGGGGAAGGGAGGGTTTTTGGGAGGGGTGTGGGATGGGTTTTTTTTTTTTATATGTATTGTTTAATTTTTTTCTTTTGTATATGTTGTTTTTTGTTTTGTATTGTTTTTGTTTTTCTTGTAAAATTTATAAAACTTTTAATAATAAAAAAAAAAAAAAAAAAGAACTATATACTATGAAGTGAAATTCATAAAATTTCGGGTGCGACGATCTCTACCGTCTTCCTTCAAGTCCCGCGGAGGGCCTGGCGAGGCTGACCCAGGCCAGTTGGGAGGACTCGGAGGGCTGTCCTGGCAGGGATCTCGGGGGCGGGAGTTTCGAATGAGGAAAGGCAGGGCGTGGAGTCCCCCCCCCCCTTTGACGCTCAAGTTCCCGCCGCGCCCGCAGGAAACCCGATTGATGGGCCCCGCCTCTGCTACTTTTGCCTTCGCCAGCCCTGCCTATCCACATGCAGGTACGCTTGAAGTGTGTCCCGAGGTTGGTGGGAGTGTGCAGAACGTGTGAAATCAGACGGGTAAACAGGAAAGGAGGCCCCTGGGGTTGCGGGGACGGTAGGAAGTTGGACCTGAGGCCTGGCAAAGAAGGGTGAGTAGGGTTCAAATGACTTTCGCTTCATTGTAGTTGGCGCTGCTTCCACCCTCGTTGGGCGAGGCGGAGAAACGGGGGCTGCGTTAAGCATCTTGCAAACAGCCCAAATGCAACTCGGAAAAGGAGAGGTCGGTGCTCTTTTCGACACCGCTTAAGCCCTTCTCTACAGATCCTTGAATAGTTCTGAGCGTCGGGAAGAAAGTTGCCGTTCAAATTGGTACCTGGCACTGGAGACGCGCGCGAGTTAAGGTATGTGCCTTAAAGGTTCAAAACGACGAAATTGTTGATGGTCTAAGAGTCTGACAAGTGAAGGCATCTGTTCTCTCTCTTGGGTAGTTGCAAAAGGGAGGCTGTTAAAAGCGAAAGTGCGATTCCTACTTTGGAACGCCTGGCAGGAAACAAATGTGAACCCTTCATGGAAACGGAATAGAAGATATTGGGGGGGGGGGGAGGAATGTCAATTTCAGCTATCCGTGAACATGAGCAGGAGGAATGAAGACCCAAGAGAAAATTCTTGAGAAGCTTTTTCTGAAAGCAGCTGATAATAAGAAGGAGAGGGAAACAACCTTTCCCAAAATCAGTGGTGGGCTATTTCCTTTTCTCAGAAAGCCACAGTTTATTTAAAAGGCTATTTCCTTTTCTCAGAAAGCCACAGTTTATTTAAATATTGTCTGAGTTTCACCTGACATCAGATGCTAACAAAGTATGTTTTGATCAAAAGGTGGGATGTAGATAAAAATGATGCTTAAAAGCATGTGCCAACCCTCTCTAAATGAGAGCTCTGAAAATGTATTGGGCTGAAACTATTGTTAGATGCAAGTGGTAGCAAGATGTGTGATCGGGAGCCAGCATTGTGAAGCAGTGGCAGACTTATTGCTGATAAGAAGATAGTAAGTCAAATTCTATAAGGCATCAAGGAAATAGAAGGGAACTCTCTAGAGCAGTGGTTCTCAACCTGTGGGTCGGGACCCCATTTGGGGTCGAACGACCATTTCATGGGGGTCGCCAAACAACGCAGTCTGCCATTTTCCCCCCCTTTTCCTTAGCTGTGCTACTCCCTTTTATTATATTGGCTTTTGAAAGCCAATAGAATAGACTCTCTTGAATAGAGTCTAATTCTATTGGCTTTCAAAAGCCAATAGGAATTGTCCAGGCTGTCTCTGCCCTGCTGAGCCCGCCAAAAGTCCCATTCTGCAAACGGTGTTGCACCAGTTGAGTAGTCCTTGACTTACGACCGGTTGAATAGTTCTCAACTTATGACCGGTTAGGGGTCGCGGCATTAAAAAGGTTGAGAACCACTGCTCTAGAGTCTAGGTCTAGGAATATAATTCCAGTGGCAGAATGAGATTTTAACTTTAATTCTTAGCACAGGATCATAGCCACACAACCATGGAAAGGTGCATGAATTTTGTGGGTGACTTAACAGGTGGTGGTGAATAATCTACCACGTGACTCAAAATTACAAGCGATTGCTGCTGCAAGGTATTGCTGCTGCAAGGACACGAGCTGAGTGCAAGCTGAGATCTTAAGAAGGGGACAAGGCAGAGAGACTATTCCAGAAGACTGCAGAACTAACCTAATGTACTTTAGGGATAGGCAATGTAGTACTTAGCAGATACTTAAGACTACAGTACTAACAATCCCCTGTCTTTAATTGTATTAATTGAGGCTATTGGAGAGGAAATTCAAGACACCATGCATGCTATAGGCTAGTGCAGTAGTTAGACAATTGGACAAGACAGACCCAGATGAAACTCTATTTAGTCATGAAGTTGTCGGACTGAGTTTTAGTTTGAACTAATCACTATCTCTCTTAGGTAACAATGATTTCAGCACCACAACAGCAATCACAGATGTTAACTTTTACCTTTCTATCAGCTGCCTGCTTTCTAGAACAGGGGTCCCCCACTGGGCCGTGGACTGGTACCGGGCCGTGGCATGCCACCAACTGATCCACACAAACAAGCAAAGCCCCATCTGCGGGATGCAAGCAGCACACAAAACCACACACTCTCCGGTCTTTCCATGATGCCCAAAAGGTTGGGGACCTCTGTTCTAAAATAAATGTCTTTAAGCTATAAATTATGGTTAAACAGTTCAGCAAGACTATAAGCTGAGCAAAAGGCTAAGTAGAGTTTCTTATTGGCTAGGATGTACATGGAATGGATTTAAAGCTCTGAGTTAAGAGGAAACCCAAATTAGTCTTAACTGATTTAATTTTCTTGAGCATCAGCTGTGAGAAGCACTGTCTATATTGAAAAAATACAGCTCATCACAAAGACTCAGTTCACACAACTGATTCTCACTGCTAAATAATTTTATTTGAGAGCTTTCAGTGTAGAAAAGGTTTCCAAGAAAACTGGCTCCTGTGATTAAAAAAATACTTTATTTTCTTCTTATCCATCTTTCTCTGTGTGTAAAAATATCAGCAATGGAAAAATAATATTAAATAAGAATTGGAAACAACTTTCCTTCTGTTGTTGCTGTGTAGATGTAAGAATGACAACTCTCAGGATTTCCAGCTGACATAGGTTGGTACTTGATGGATGCCAGCTCAAAAATGATAGATATTTTGTTTTTAGCAAGCTTACATTTGAATTGCCTAAAGGATGGAAGGATTTAGCCCCCAGCTTTAATAATGGAATGAAAATACTGTTTCTAAAAGTTAGGAGCCTATGATTTGTTTAGCAGTCTGAATTTATAAACTTTTTCTTAATGTTACATTTTAACATCTAGCAGTTGGGCTATTAGAGTTTTTCTAACTGGAGGGCTTTCCCCCTCCCCACAACGTGGAAGAATGAACCTAGAAGAGCCAGTAGACTGTAGTAATCAGATTGTTAACTAGATATGGTAATATATTCAGTGATTCAGATACTTATTCTAAAGCTCTACTTGGAGCACGCACTGTCTTTCAACTCTTCCTATGTCACATATTTGCTATAAAAATAAAATAGGGAAAAGAAGATTGGCAATTCAGTAACTAGATCATGAATGACCATGGGAGGCCAAAAAAGCAGTGAGAGCACAAGCAACTTTCTACTGGCTTCCTCAAAAACTTTGCTTGTGGGAAGCTAGCAAGGAGCACTGAAAATCATGATCATGTGGCCATGGCTGACTGTGTGACTGCAGGACACGGCAGTCATCCGTAAGTGTAATCATGTGACTGAGGAATGGCAACCATTGGAATTTTGAATCCAGATTGTAAGTAACCCCAGGGAAGACCATCCTAATGTCAAAAGGTTGCTAAGTGACTGGTTGGAAGTCAAGAATTACCTGTGATTAAATAATTAAATATTTTGAATGTGCCCATTGTATCTCTATTCTCGGGATTTTTTTCCCCCTTAGACTTCTCACTCATTTACTAATATGTATATAATAGAAGATGTTGCTTAAATGAACTCCTCCCTGTATAAGTGCAACATGGTTATTGCCACAACAGTTGTGTTTGTTCCCCTTTTTTTCTTCCTTCTCTGTTCTGAAAAAAGGTTAGCTAAGTGGAAGCAGGGTCTGAGTAAATCAAGAAACTGATATATTTTTCTAAAATGACCAGAATCTTTTTCTGACAAGAAGTGAAAATTGTTAATGAAATTAAAGTAGTTCCACTTGTCCTATGCTCATAAAAACTAAAATGTGAGTATTTTAAATGTCTGTCCCTTAAAGAGTAAACCAATATAAAACAACTGGAACATTTTTTTTTTTTTTTGCCTACCATGTTTTATCAGTTCAGCTCCTGTGGCTTAAAAAAACATGGTTTATGTCTCAGTGAAACATATTAAGCCCTACATGTGAAGCCAGCCATTATGGCTTATTTGGTATATTAATTATAGTTTACATTAGCCATTGTACAGTGTTAACAGTAGTAGTTAAATAAGTATGAATAATTTACTTCCAGATGACTGAATCTAGATTTAATCATAATTAGGGTAGTGATATCACTGAAAATATGGGACAAATCAGAATTGATTTCAGCAGAACTGTTTTAGAGGTGGACATACCACTAGCGAGATGACCATTGATTCTCCAACCTTAATCTATAATATCAGAAATTGAAATTTTATTTACAGCCAGGGGCCTGCAATATAGTACAACACTAAAACAACAGCTAAAATCAAGCTCAAATAAAAGCAATAATGCTCTAAGAACATGCCAGTCAAACTTTATATAGATGGAAAGTAAGCAAAATAAAGCAGCAAGATAAAGTAAAGAAAGTAACTATACATTTATAAGGTGGGGGGAGAGAGAGCAATGTCTAAGTCTAAATCATTAGGTGTCCTGCTGGAGAGGGTGGCTATAATCAATTTAGTGAAATGAAAATAAGTAAATGGGTAATACCGGTAGGTGTTAAAGCCACAGCCAATACAAACTATGTATAAATTGAATGTTACCTTCCCGCCTCCCCAGTCTCTGCGCCTACTTAAATCTTCACTTTAGGTCAGGGATGTCAAACTGCCGCCCCACGGGCCAGACACGTCATCTGGAAGCCGCGCCCACCCCATTGCTGGCAATGGCAAATGGTCCCAATACGTTGTGCGACGTCACGTGACATTGCGAATTTGACATGTCTGATTTAAGTGTTATGGCTTATAAGCTATACTTTATTGCCTAACTTTGTATATGAACCTAGGCCTTACTTGTTCAACAGATCATGATTTAGTAGTGAGTGAAACCAGCTCCCCATTTACCCTGCAGGAGATGTGCCAAGCCCTTTTTTCATAGGAATTTGGAGATAAGATAATGATGAAGAAGTTAAGAACATTCTTGCAAAATATATTAGCCAATATGTCTGTTAGATACTTCCAAATGTTTCTTTTTAGTTTTGGTTGTATAACAACTATAACCACCTAGCATTGCCAGGTTTTAAAAAGCTGAATGTTATAATATACTATTATCTTTGCAGATTCACCAAGGTGAGGCATTGATTGTCTGTCTTGTTGAAATCGGCCCTTAACATATGTAGCTGCCCAAGTATGAGTTTGGAAAGCACAGCTTCTTATCATCATAATGGCAGAGCAACTAGCTGGTAAAACAAAAATCACACACAAAGGTACAGCAGGAGGAGATTCACTGTCCTTCGTAAACTTACTGAAAGTCCATAGAGAATTGCTAGTCAATCGAATCCGCAACACCCAGTGTTTGATTGACAACTTGATTAAGAATGACTATTTCTCCATAGAAGATGCAGAGATTGCTGCACAGTATTCTACACAAGCAGACAAGGTACAGTATATATTTTATTTCAGACTTTGGCTTAAGGGTAGTTTAATCAATAAACCAGGGGTGGTTTAATAATAAATCATGGCTTAGTACACTCTATAAACTGTCTTTACTCACAATTATTCATAAGGGCAAGTGAGCAAGGCTGGCTGGAGGAACTGGAACTGATTTTTTCATTTGTCTTCCACCAAATTAGGGATTAGTGCTGGCAATAGATAAAAGGAATTCTACCTAATCTTTAATTTTTTATTCCTGTCTCAGCATGTTTGATAGAAGGCATTTCCTTAACTTGATGGACTAATAGCATATATTTTTGTATGCTACTGATTATGATTATTTAAAAGACTATTGTAACAAATTGCTGTTGTTTATATAGAAAGGATCCAAAGCTAAAATTCCTTTTCCTCATAATCTTGACTTGTTTTGGAAATAATTTTATAGACAAAGAGAGAGTGTAGTGTTTCTTGCACTATCATACACATGAATAATTTTTCCCTTCACTCAATATTCCAATAAACAAAAAATCTGGATGGAAAGAGAATATCTATAGTTATTCAAACAATGAGAGAGAGAAAATGAACTTCTGGAAAAAAGTGTCCTTTTAAATGCTTTTCCCTATCTCTTAAGAATTAATTTCTGCAGAGTCTGATGATCTTTGAGCTGTTTCTGTAGTTAATAATTATTAGTTTCCAGAAGGTTCTGGCTGATCAGCTTGATGAACCAGTTAAGCAGCATCTGAAGCTTCAAAACTTTTGCTGTTATCTGTCAAGAAACTGATACACAGGAATCCTTCATTATAGATTTTCCTGGCTTCTGATTACTTTTTTTTTTGTGAAAATGCATTTATATTACCAATGTATATTACCACATGATAGTGATCTTTTTCTTTTTCCTATTAATGTTCCTGAATTTTTATTTTATTTTACATAGCTCTTTGTATTGTTACTTGCTTAAGGACATAAAATATATAGAAATAAACAGACTGGCCTGGTTGCCAGCTTCTCCTTTTCCTGAATTCTTGTGTAGGCATCATACTTGTGTAGGCATCTGAAATGGAGAGTTCTTCAAATGTAATATGGAAGCTTCCTTTGATTCTAGAAACTTTTTCAATCATATTCCGTGGAAGCTTCTATAGCTACCGGTAATAGTAAATACATAAAGACTCTCATGTCCCGTTATAAATATATTTGTACATGTGTGTGTGTGTGTGTTTGTGTGTGTGTGTGTAATAAAATAGTATTCCTCCAGAAATTGAGGTATATCACTTGTAGTTCCTGTCTCACTTGTCTTAGTGTAACATCTGGAATTCTCCAAAACTTATCACCAAATTATATTGGATGTTAGGAGATTGCTAAATATTCAGGGAGCAAGCACACTAATTGTAATTTAATTAATTGTAATTATATTAACATTTATGTAGAATGAATTTAAATTTGTTTACTGTTATAGCCATTTGTAGCATCAAGCAATTGTACCATGTATGATGGTGGTCCAGTGAATAGTTACATCTAGCCTAAATAATGCTTGAGACTTTTATCTCATCTTTACCTAAGGTCCGTAAAATTCTGGATCTAGCCCAGAGTAAAGGTGAGGAAGTTGCAGAGTATTGCCTGTATGTCCTGCAACAAGCTGATGATGCTTACTATGACTTACATCCCTGGTTGGAGGAGATTGGCTTCCACCCATCAGAAGTCATTTGTAGCAAAGCTGTGGAAAATACTGACCCAGGTAAGACATCCAGTTGCCCAAGTCTGTTCTTTTTCTTTTAATTTTTAAAATTAGCTTTTTCAATGTGAAAACCAAAGCATGATGATGATGGTGGTAGTGGTGATAATATAGAAAACTAGCCAGATAAAACCAAAACTAGTTAAAAAGGGAAGATAGACAGGTAGTCCTCAACTTAAAACCATTTTTTAGTGACTGTTTCAAGTTGCAACAAAATGACTTATGACTGGTTTTCACATTTACAACTGTTACAGCCGTCCCATGGTCACATGATCAAATTCTGGCACTTGGCAACTGGCATATATTTATGGCAGTTGTACTTTCCTGGGATCTTGTGATCACGGTTTGTAACCTTTCCAGCTGGCTTCAGATAAGCAAAGTCAATGGGGGAAGCAAGATTGATTTAGCAACTTCATGATTCACTTAACACTGCAACTGTCATAAATATGAACCAGTTTCCAAGCATCCAAATTTTGATCACATTACTAATAGATTACTATAATGGTTGTAGGTGCAAAAAATGGTCATAAGTCACTTTTTTCAGTGCCATTGTAACTTCAAACAGTCACTAAACAAATTATTGCAAATTGAGGAGTGCCTGTATTGAATTCCTTATAACTACTTGACACAAAACAAAATGATAGCATTATAACCATCACAAATATATATATAATTGCATATAATTGTTATTTTAATATTTATTATTGCAATTGGGTTCAGAATAAAGTAATCCTGTGGCAATTTGCAAGTTGGAAATATGCTAGCCTATGGAAAATGATGTTTAAACCTAATACACCTACATAAAATATCATCAGAAGAATTGTTAACCAAAGATAAAACTTTAGAATGTTGGAATAAAATCGAATACTACTAAAAGCAAGTCTAAATATTGCAATCAATCAATAACTGTGTATAAACACAAATACAATAATATGTACATTCACAAATGCACATATGCAATATAGTTTTCCAAAAAGAGTTTATAAACTTTAAAAAGAGAGCAATAAAATTAATGTGCATTTAGGATATGTAATGTGTGATAGTGTCGTACATGTGAAATTACACTCTGTATGTTTGGGGGGAGTAAGCTCAATTTCCCGGCACACATTTACAGCAATTTACTTATGTGGAGGAAGTCTATATGTGTAAAGAGAAGTTTATGATCTAAATGCTTGGTATTTATGAGTGCATGTGTGTTTTTTACTATTATTTTTTGAGTGCCAGTGCATAATTTTTAGAGTGCATAACTGCTTTGAAAATTCTCAATGTTCTAGAGAAACATGAAAGAGTAGAACACAATTTGGCTCCTAGTGATCTTTCTGTTAGATGAACTGCCTTAAATTTTCATTTAATAATATTCAGCTTTATCTTTAGTCAGCAGATATCAGCAGAAACTTAAAGATGAATTGGGTCGAGAAACAAAGTTCGTCATGTCATATGCCCAAAAGGAGGACATGTTGCTTGAAGAAATATATTCTGCCAATATTATGGAGTTTCTCAGTCACAAAAATGAGAAACTCAGTAATGTGCATGCCTTAGAAGATCTACTTACTGACAGTTTTGGGCTGATCAATGAAAATGGAGAGACCATCTATGTCTTTGGGGATGCTGGGATTGGAAAGTCCATGTTACTGCAAAAGATGCAAAATCTCTGGTCCAAGAATGCCTTTGACATAGGGGCCAAATTCTTCTTCCGTTTCCGATGCCGAATGTTCAGCTGCTTTAAGCAAGAAGAAGCCTTTTGTTTAAAGGATCTTCTCTTCAAGTATAACTGTTTCCCAGATCAGGATCAAGAGGAAGTTTTTGACTTCATTGTAAAATTCCCTCATACTGTCTTGTTTACATTTGATGGTTTTGATGAAATTCATTCTGATTTTGATCTCAGTAGTATTCCTGAAATCTGCTCTCCCATTGAATCTATTCACCCACTTGCTCTTCTGGTGGGCCTCCTCAGTGGAAAGCTTTTGAAGGGATCTAGAAAAATTCTGACAGCCAGGACAGGGACAGAAATTGATAAAAACATTGTTCGGAAGAAAGTACATCTCCGAGGGTTTTCCAATAGTAACCTGAAAGACTATACTAAAATGTTCTTCAAAGATGAAGGATGTCAAACTTTAGTTCTGAATCAACTGGAAGCCAACCCAAATCTAAGCAGTTTGTGTTCAGTGCCATTGTTTTGCTGGATTATCTTCAAATGTTTTGAACATTTCCACTCTGCGTTTGATAGCCATGAACTCCCAGACTTTACTGTCACTCTAACGGACATTTTCTTGCTTATGACTGAAGTCCACCTGAATCGTATTCAGAAGACAAATTTGCTAAAGAAGAACAACAGAAGCCAAGAAGAAACATACAGGTCGAATAAAGAGAAATTGTTTGCACTGAGTAAAATAGCCTACGTGGGGATGCAGAAATCTCTCTTTGTCTTTGAGCAAGAGGAAGTCCTCAGCAACCTCCTTGAGCAGGATTTACATTTAGGATTTCTCAGGGCAGTTCCTAATTATGAAGATAATATAGACCAATCTTCCTATGAATTCCTGCACTTGACGTTGCAGTCATTTTTTGCAGCTTTTTATCTGGTAACAGATGAGAAAGTGGGGGCCAGGGATTTGCTGCAGTTCTTTGCTGAATGCTCCATGCGAGACACTACTGTATCTTCATGCTTGCCTCTTTCCTGGTCAAAACATTACCACCCAACAGGAGGAGATCCTTTCCGAAATAAAGAGCATTTTCATTTTACTAATCTCTTCTTGTGTGGCTTGCTTTCCAAGGCAAGGCAGAAACTCTTGAGGCATCTGATTCCTCTGAGGACAGTCAAGAAGAAACGGAGGATTCTTCTGGCCTATTTTTTTGAAAGCATGAAGTCTCATCTGAAGGGTCTCTCTCGGGCAAGGCTGAAAGAATACAAACAGGTGCAAGTAATGCCAAACTTTGTTTGGATGCTGAGATGCATCTATGAAACTCAGAGTGAGAAAGTTGGTAAAGGGGTTGCCAAATGCATGCGTGCCAATTACATCAAGCTGACTTACTGCAATGCCTACTCTGCTGACTGTAGTGCCATTTCCTTTGTTATGCATCATTTCCAGAAACACTTGGCCCTTGATCTGGACAATAACAACATCAATGATTATGGAATTAAGCAACTGCAACCTTGCTTTAGCCATCTGGCAGTACTCAGGTACAGTAACACAATGATTTAATAGGTACTGATAAAAGGAAAAAAGCTACTTCTCCTTGAAAGAATCGGGGAGCAGACTTGTTTCCAAATATCATGGGTAAATAACATGGGTAAGTTTGACGTAGAAGAGAAGCATTTGAACCTCATCTCTTTATCCTTCCTTTTTTTCCCCCTTCTCATCTACATAGTGCTGGTAAAATTGTCCTTTGAGTGACTCTAGAATGTCTTAAAATATTACTTGTAGGAATTATAATCAGCTTCTTTTAGAGATTGGTTTACTTGTTTATGAATAAACTGCTTCAGTTAGTGGAAGAGAAAAGAAAGAGGCCATTTTGTTCTGTATTCAAACATTGATTAATGGTATTGCAAAGAAAGCTAAATCTGCTAGTGCCTCTTTGAATTAAAAGGATCATACTTCTCCCCCCCCCCGCCCCCATAAATGATGCTGTGAACCAGCTACTTTATCACATGTCTTTCTTTTACTTCAGGGTGAGTGTGAACCAAATCACAGATCAAGGTGTGAGAGTGCTTTACGAGGAGCTCTCCAAATTCAAAATTGTATCTTATTTGGGGTATGTACAAAGGATGAGCTCAGATACTCATTATGTGAAGGGCGTGTTCCAATTATCAAGGGGAATAATGTGAAAGAGTAATGACTCACATATTTCTAGATTATTACCAGATCATTTGATCCATTACTTGATTGCTATCAACACACATTTATTTATATCCTACCTTTAGTATTTTTATATTTAGTGCAACATAAGGAAGTAACAGAATAACAATTGGAAAGTTATTGAATGTAGATGAATTGAAGAGCACTTGCAAAACTAGGCTGAGGTGCAGTGAAGGTGCAGTGCCCGATTCACTACATGCTAATAGACCCATTCAACTTTTATTTGCAGAGGTTGAATTTCAGTGTCCACAAACATCCAGCATATCAAACTGATAAAAAGAGAATATATGTAGCTCAGGATTTAACTGTGGAATCTTTGATCCTCTCTGAGCTTAGTTATTTGCTTGCAGGTATTTCATTACTCAACTAGGTAACATTATCTCTGCTAGTTTGTGTGAGATTTGCTCTCTGTTTATATACTATAGCTTGCCATGCCAGTGGAATTGATGGTGGTAACGAAGTTGGGGTGGTGCTGATTGTGTGTGTGTGTCTGTGTGTAGTAATTTTCCTTGGTCAAAGAAGTAAATACAATTGATTTAAGAGGCAATGTTTTAAAACGGAGGTGTCAAACTGGCAGCCCACAGGCCGGATGCGTCATGCGCAAGCTACGCCCCCCCCCGGTTCCCCAAAGGCAAAAAACATTGTGAAACATCATAATATGTCACGTGACGCGATTATTTGACACCTGTGTTTTAAAAGAAAGTTATGTACCTCCTATCTTGTAGTTTCTGTTTTAATGGGGCAAACCTATACTCGTCCACTTAGAAAAAATTGCCTTAAATTTAATAGGTTTTATTCTAACGTCAATCCAAAAAGCAGTACAGGTAATCCTCGAGTTACGAGTGTAATGGAGCCTGCCAATTCCGCTCGTAACTTGAAAACTCATAGAGTAAATCTTGTTTGAGGCACAAGATCATTCCCTTGCTCATTAAAACGCATGCGGCTCGTTAAGCAAACATGAGGTACATGAGGTGGAGAAGGCCATGGAGGGCCTAGTGGTGGAACAGGCCCCCAAGGCCTTCCCGACCCACTAAGATACTGCATGCTTCCCCCTCCCTTCCTGCTGTGCCAGACTCACCTGGAAAAGATCCGTCCCCTCTCTGCCACGGTTCCTGCTACCGCCCAGATTTGAGGCTGTAGAACACTTCTGCGAACCCCCCCCCCCGCGGCCCAATCCGGGCTCAGAGGCCTTTTCCAGGCTGGTGCTACCTGGATTTGAGGCCAGGGAACGCTTCCGCGCACCTGCGTGGCCTGATCTGGGCTCCAGAGGCTTTTTCCAGGCCCAATTGGGCCATGTGGGGGCTGCAGAAGCATTCCATGGCTTCAAATTTGGGCAGCAGCAGTAGCCTGAAAAAGGCCTATGGAGCCTGGATTGGGCCGCGGGGGGAGGAGGGGGTCGTGAAAGCATTCCACAGCCTCAAATCTGGGCAGCAGCAGCCTGGAAAACATTTCCGGAGCCCAGATCAGGCTGAGGGGGGGCACAGAAGCCTCCCCCGGCCTTAGATCCAGGCCGCAGCGGCCTGGAAAAGGCCTCCAGAGCCCCAATTCAGCCTCCGGAACATGTCGAAGCATCCCCCAGCTTCAGTTCTGTTCTCTGTTGCAGAGAACAGAGGCCTAAAGTACCATGGGATCATGCGAGATCAGTAGCGTGAGATCTCACCCCACTGATCTCGCGTGATCTTGTGTTACTTTAGGCCTCCATTCTCTGCGAACAAACCAAAGGCCTGGAGTAGCCAAGAAAGTAAAGGATCTTAATCTTTGCAGGATGAGTATTGAAGGCCTGGTGCCTAGGGGCGGGGATGGGGAGGGAAGGAATAACCAGGGTGAATGTTGCAGAGCCTCTGCAGTCGCTTGTAAGGGCGAACGACTGCTGTGGTGCTGCAATATTTGTAACTTCGGGACTTGCTCATAAGCATTAGGGGCGCTTATCACGTAACTTTGAACGAGCGTTAAGTGAACGCCCGTAACTCAGGGATTACCTGTATATGCATCAAAGCTACTGAATGAGCAACAATCCATAACAAATCTTAAGAGGTCTGAAACTGTATGGAACTGCTTCTTTAATTTTTATTGATTCTTGTGCAAAGGAAATAAGCTTATGTCTCAATTAGCTTATAATTGGGAAATTGTATTTGTACTTTTTAAAATATATATATATATATATATATATATATATATATATATATGCTATAATTAACTTAATTAATTAATACCCTGCTATTATTCCTTCCAAAGCTTATATAACAACCAGATTACTGATATTGGAGCAAAATATGTGGCAAGACTCATTGAGGAATGTCCAAGCCTCATCTATGTTAAGTAAGTATATCTCTCATCCTTATACCATCCTAGTTCTCAAGTGATTAAGCCTTCAAAAATGGACTCTGCCTCTTCAATTACTCCAAGATTTTTCCATATAATCCTGCTGGATACAAAGGTTAAGTATCTCTGAGATTTGAAGCAATACAATTGTGCAGTATCCAGAGCCCCTTACATGGTGAATCTCGTTTGCATTACTCTACCAGCAGCTGCCATGATGGAGTGGGAGAAGAATAGGCTTGTTTGAACCCAGGGGTGACTGCTTGTATAGCAAAAAAGTACTTCTGAGTTACCCAGTGAGATTCTCATGAACACCAATATGCCCATAAATATTAGCCTTGGTACCCTCCTGCTGCCTGACCCCATCTGACTTTAAAAATAAATATTAGATTCTTTTAATTGATGATGATGATGATGATGTTATCCATTCAATCATGTCTGACTCTTGGCAATTCTATGGACCAGGTTTCTCTACATCTTCCAATCTTGCATTGCTCCTGTGAGTTGTTCTAAGCTCTAGCTAGTGTCACCTTTAATGGTGTCCAACCACTGTCCAACCACTGTGTTGTTTGGCAGTCTGGTTTCCTTTTGCCACTACTTCTTCCAAAATAATTGCTTTCTCCAGTGAATTCTCCCACATGACAAATCCAAAATAAGTGAGACTCAGTTTTGTGATTTTGTCTCTTTTAATTAGCAGTGATAAATAAATGAGAAATGCCACGCTGCAGTCTTCTTGATAGAAGATAACTGATTAGCAAAAAGTTCACCTATTTCCTCTGTTTGGTTTGGTGGTTTGTAGTGTAATGTGTGTACATGTATATTTATGTATGTATGTATGCATATAGGTGGGTAGGTAGGTAGGTAAATATCAGTCTTTTGTTAGAGTAGTATCTGCTACCCTAGAAAAAAATTGTTGGGATGGATAATAAGTATTTGGGTGGAGTAAGGAGATCAGTGAAGGGGAATAATTTTGGTTAAATGCATTTTTTTCTGGTTAGACCCATCATGGTAAAAGATATAGGAAAGAGTGAATCTTCCTATAGGAGCCATTTTATGAGAACATCCATGCTCTATCTTGAAAATCCTAAGATGTTGAGGGTCTTAGCTTGACTATTATTAGCCTTGCAGTTATCATTGGGTTCTTCTCAGATTAAATTATCACATGGGGGTCCAGTTAATCAAAATTTATCTGACATCTGGTAGAAGTTGAAGGGTAATTCTTATTCCAAGATCACTGGCCAGAGAGGATTTGGATGATCAGTGTTGAGCCACCAGCATGTAAGTATAACTCCTTGGCAGCTTTGGTGGGAAAATTCTCTTTTTAGATTAATTGCTGATATTTCTGGCATGAGAAGCCCCCCCAATAAAGGACAATGAGACAGTTCAGGAGTGGCTTTGGATTTGTTAAATCCAAGCTGCACAATTATGTCATCCTATATTTGAGGATTATTTGTACAAATTTGCATATATTTTATATCACTTCACTGTACCTCATTTTATTGTACTTTATTGTGGCTGATGCTCATGTTTGATATGGTCAATTGGCTAATCAGTGAAGTATATCGTATTATGTAAATGTGAGTAACCAGAAGTATCCCTGCAGACTTCTCTAGCAGTCCCACTCTATGAATGTCATGAATTGACAAGGTTTTGTAAGTGGCAGAATCAGCCACTCAATATACAAGTAATCCTTGACTTATGATTGATTGTTCAGCAACTGTTCAGTTACAGTGGCACTGAATGAAGGGACTTATAACCTTTGCCAAAGTCAATAGCCTCTACAGTGCTTTTGCAGTCATGCGAACAAAATTCAGCCACTTAGCACCTTTATGAACAACTGCAGGGATACTGTAGTGACTCCATATATATCCCCCTCCAAAATGGTGTCCACTTCTGGGATGACACCACATGGCCTCCAACGTATAGGAGAGCTGAGGGGTGTATCATTCATTGTGGGTGCTTCCAAAATGGGGATCATTTCCTATGGGACTATTATGTAGGAAGGCCATGCGACCGAGAGACTTCTTCCCAAAGGTATACCAAAAAGGTATATGCTCAATCTGTGACACGAATGGGGTTGGGAGGAGGGTATGGTATCCATAGGGTAGGAAGCAGGCCCAAAGCCTGTGGAGACCCAGTATGGCAGGAAGCAGAGGGTACCTCTAAATGGGAGATGCCCTGGCTACCTTTGAGCTAGAGAGGTGCTGCAATACAAGCCTGGGCCTGCACTGAATCTCCCAGGGCCTCCCCCACTCCTAAGGAGCCTTATGCTCCACTTAACCACTTGCCTGGTTACTTAATGACTACAACAGGGTGAGCAAAGACTGGGGTTAGTAAGCAAGGCAATCACATGGGTACCTCACTTAATGACCATAACTTGTGACTTGTAATGAGCAGGCTTCGTTATGGTTTTAAGTCAAAAACCACCTATATCTTATTTAACCATATTCTTCCCATATGAATATTTCCCAAAATTATTTTAAGATTGATTTTAGCTAGGATTCATCAGCTTTAGAAACTGTTTCCATATAAGCACGTTAGTGCAAAGAATGAAAGACCTTGTTCAATATTTTAATTGCCTTATTTTAGAAGGATAAGCAATTTCTTGTACCCATTAGATTACAATTTAATTTGTAATTAAATCACAAATTAATTTACAATCCTTCCAAAAAAGCCTCCAAGATTCAATTTGCATATGGTTTGTGTAATGTACAATATCTGTTTAGTTTTAATGAATCAATTAAAAATAGATGATAAGCCCACTTAAAAGTCTTCAATCATTTGATAAAGCAGCCCTTGTCTATTCCTTCATGGGTTTTTATGTAGGTAAAACATAAAATTGGCGGTGGAATTCCCCAGGCTTATGGTGCTGGGGGATTTCAATTTGCCGTCACTCGGCGAATCCTTTGGTGTGGCTCAGGAGTTCATGGCTTCCATGACAACCATGGACCTGACCCAGATAATTCAGGGTCTGACCCATAGGGGAGGACACACGCATGACTTGGTATTCCTCTCGGGGCAGTGGAGACGTGATTTCGATTTAAGGGGTATAGTCACTTCTCCCTTGTCATGGTCGGATCACTTCCTGTTGAGGTTTGATTTCTCGGTCCTACTCCCCCACCGCAGGGAGGCAGAACCGATTAGGTGGTTCCGCCCCAGGTGTTTAATGGACCCGGAGGGGTTCCAAATAGCGCTTGGGGGTTTTCCTGATTCCCTCCTCCACGAACTGGCTGAGTCCTTGGTCGCTGCTTGGAATAAGGCGGCATCAGGGGCGTTAGACCAGATCGCGCCTTTGTGACCTCTCCGTGATTGTGGATCCCAGAGGGAACCTTGGTTTACCGAGGAGCTACAGGAGATGAAGCATCAAAAGAGACGTCTAGAGCGACGCTGGAGGGCTAGTAACTCCGAATCCGACCGGACACTTCTAAGAGCCTATATTAGGACTTATTTAGTGGCGATACGAGCGGCAAAATGTTCGCATTTTTCCGCACTTATTGCGTCTGCAGACTCTCGCCCCGCCGCCCTGTTTAGGGTGACCCAGTCCCTACTTAATGTTCAGGAAGCTGGGGAGCCCTTACAGGGTAGAGCGGAGGAATTTGTGCAATTCGACTGGGGCAGGTCTTAGCTCAGTTTTATGGGATGAATTTGAGTCTGTGACCGCTGAGGATGTTGACAGAGCGGTGGGAGCAATGAGCGCCTCCGCTTGTTTATTGGACCCGTGTCCTTCCTGGTTGGTCTTGGCTGTCAAGGAGGTGACACGAAGCTGGCTCCAGGTGTTGATCAACGCTTCGTTGAGGGAGGGGTCTTTTCCACAATCCCTGAAGGAGGCGGTTGTGAGGCCCCTGCTCAAGAAGCCTACCCTGGACCCGGCTGATTTAAATGACTTCTGTCCAGTCTCCAATCTCCCCTTTGGAGAGAGAGTGGTGGCGCTCCAGCTCCGACGGTCTTTGGATGAAGTGGATTATCTAGACCCTTTTCAATCTGGCTTCAGGCCCGGCTTCAGCACAGAAACCGCTTTGGTCGCGCTGATGGATGATCTCTGGCGGGCCTGAGACAGAGGTTATTCCTCTGTCTTGGTGCTACTTGACCTCTCAGCAGCTTTCGATACCATCGATCATGGTATCCTTTTGCGACGACTCGAAGGGGTGGGAGTGGGAGGCACCGTTTTAAGGTGGTTCTCCTCCTGCCTCTCTGGCCGGTCGCAATCGATATTGGTGGGAGGGCAGAGGTCAACCCCGAGCCCCTTGAATGCGGGGTGCCACAGGGGTCGGTCCTCTCTCCCCTCCTATTTAACATTTATATGAAGCCGCTGGGTGAGATCATCAGACAGCACGGGGTGAGGTTTCATCAGTATGCTGATGATACACAGTTATATATCTCCTCCCCGAGCTCTCTCAGTGAAGCGGCCGATGTGATGGGCCGTTGCCGCGAAGCCGTGAGGGTCTGGATGGGGGTTAACAGACTCAGGCTCAATCCTGACAAGACCGAGTGGCTTTGGATGTTGCCTCCCAAGGATCATGTCGACTGTCCAGTGTTGACTCTTGCGGAGGAAAATATACCCCCTTCGGAGCGGGTTCGCAACTTGGGTGTCCTCCTTGATCCACAGCTGAATTTGGAACATCAATTGACGGCTGTGGCTGGGAGGACCTTTGCATAAGTTCGCCTGTTGCACCAGTTGCGACCCTACCTGGACCGGGAGGCTCTCCTTACAGTCACTCACGCCCTTGTCACCTCACGTTTGGACTACTGCAACGCGCTCTACATGGGGCTACCCTTGAAAAGTATTCGGAGACTACAGTTGGTCCAGAATGCAGCTGCGCGAGTGATAGTGGGTGCTCCTTGATACACCCATGTTACACCTATCCTCCGTGAGCTGCACTGGTTGCCTATTGGTCTCTGGGTCCAATTCATGGTGTTGGTCATTACCTTTAAAGCCCTATATAGCTCAGGGCCAGGCTATTTGCGAGACCGCCTACTACCTCATAGTTCCCTACGTCCGGTTAGATCCCACAGGCTGGGCCTGCTTCAGGCCCCGTCGGCCAAGCAGTGCCATTTGGCGGGGCCGCGGAGGAGGGCCTTCTCTGTGATGGCGCCCAAGCTTTGGAATCAGCTCCCCCCGGAGATTAGGACCGCTCCCACCCTGTTGGTCTTCCATAAGCTACTTAAGACCTGGCTTTTCCGGCAGGCCTGGGGTTTATAAAACCTTACCCCTGGATGATTGTTTTTGTATTGTTGTTTTGTTATGTTTATGTGTTTTTTATTGTTAGCCGCCCAGAGTCCTTCGGGAGTGGGGCGGCTTATAAATTTTAAAAATAAAATAAAATAATAATAAATAAATAAAAGCCCATGAAGGAATAGCCATGGTAAAAATTCTTAGTATTCCAGTCCTAAATGATTCATTAATCATAATTCCAGGGAGATTTCCTATTTCCTTCACCCTCAAGAAAAAAAGAATATATCAGAGTTGCTTATCTATTTTTCATTCCAAAATGTTGATTTTTTCAAAAATTTCCATAGGAACAATTTAAGAAAGCTAATTGTATAGTATTTGAACTATATTTTATGAATAGTAAAATTTATGAAGTAATATTTCTTGTTAGAACAATAAAGCAAAATAGTTGCAATAATACAGTTTTCAATATATATTTTAAAAAACAGGTCATATGACATAAATTCAGAATATCCACAGTTTCAGAAATAGAAAAAAATCTTGCATTTGGTCCATATGAATGGATGGATATTAAAAGAGCTACTGAAGCTTGAATTAGTTCACTGAGAAGTCTACCTATTGATCAAAATTACTGTAAGCACTCTGCTTTCAAAAATTCATAAAAGAGCAGAAATAGTACACAGTATGAATTAAAAGCATATTGTACTAGTAAAAAGCAAGTCATTGTGTTTAGATGCACTACTAAATCTTGGCTGAATGATATCAAGAGCAGACTAGTGTGCTGGCTTTTTCTTTGAAGAATGTTGGAAGTTTCCACTTTTTAAAAATTAACTACTACTTAGAATGTGGCAAATGTGAAACTGTGATTAATCATAACTGCAAAGTAGCAAAAACAGCCTAAGCTGGTTTAGGCATGTCTTCTCTTGCTGGATAGTTCTCTGCCAGTCACAGCAAAGATATAATTGATAGATATTTGCAAGCTGATGTCAGTTAGAAAGGAGAGGGACAGCAAAGCCAGATGGCTTAAACACACATCTGAAAGCAGGACATCAGCATGGAGCAGTAAGCCAGAATACAGGTAATAAAGAAGGATAAGGATTGGAAATGAGATTATCAAATTATATAGTGTAGGAATGGGGCATAAGGCTAACTGAAAGGTGAAAAGGCCAGTTTTTTCCAACACAATGTTAGGTATCTAAAACAGCATTGAAACAAAAATGTTTGTTGATTTGATTTCCAGGAAAATAATTTCTTTGCAGGATAGGAGCAAACAAAATAACAACCGAGGGAGGGAAAAGTCTTGCTTATGCCATCAAGAAAAGTAAAACTATGCATGAAATTGGGTAAGTATGGGATTTTTTTTTTTTTTTTTGAAATGTTCTGATCAGAAACCAGTACAGGTAGTCCTCATTTAATGATGCTAATTGGAACCAGAAGCTTTGCCATTAAGAGATATGGACATGGCTCTGTGACCTTGCTGCTTAGTGACAACACTTCCAGGAGTCCAGCTGTGGTCTTTAAGCAAGGACCACATGGGTCACTAAATGAGGACCTCACGTGACCGTGACTTCCTACTTCCAGCTGACCTCCTCATTAGGTTTGCTTGTGAGAAGCTGGCAGGGAAGGTCGCAAATAGTGACCATGACTGTGGGACACTGCAATGACCATAGGTATGAGGTGTGATCATAACTGCCACTCATTCAGCACCTTCAGAAGTTTGAACCATCGCTGAACAAGTAGTCATTAAACAAAGACCATCTGTAAATTCATTTTAATATTTATGTTGCTAAGAAGTCTAACTTTATTAATCCTCCTTTCTAATCCCATTGTTAGCTTCCTTTGTCTCCTATGTTTTAGAACTTTAAAAAAGATATCTAAATTTATTTATTAATTATTCACTGGACATAAAAGATAATGTATAAACAAAATAAAAAAGAAACGAAATAAACTGCACAGAAGCAAAAATAAATTAAATTCTGCATAATTGGGAACTATATTGGCAGCAACCCCTAAATAAATTTGATGAAAATTCCCAAAAGCTAATATCCATATAGAATCTCAGGATTGCGAGCTAAATTGGGACGCCAAAAAAACAGAAGAAGGGTGGCAAACTATTTTTGCCAAGAAAACTATGGGAGTGTGTTTACAGAATCACTAAAAACTGAACTTGATTGAAAAACTTTTTACATTTAAATATACTTTTGCAATCTTAAGGAGAAATACAAATTATAAGTATCCATAGTCAATTAATATGTTCAAAGAGAAATTTGCATAGATGGGGGATCTCTCAGGAATTGGTTTGTTGATGTATCTAAAAAATATCCAAATCAAATGTGAATAAAGCAATCTGTACTTAAAAGGTTGCTCAATATGTTGTGCTACTATATTAACTTTTCAGCCAAAGCTATTTTTCATGCATTTAAATATAGTTATAGTAAAGATGGCAATTAACAATGAAAATTTAATTAATTTCTAATTTAATTGGAATTGTATAAGCGTTAGTTGACAGAGCTCACTAGCTGACCTTGGGCAAGTTTTTCTCTCACAGGTTAATGTTGTAGGGATAAAACAAAGGGAGATGAGACTTTAGTCTTGAACTTCCAGAGAAAAACCAGGAAAGAAATGCAACATATAAAAATATGCACTTGCAAATTTGTTTTCCAAACAAATGAGTTTAGATTTTTAAAATTCATTCTGTTGTACAGTGTCTATGAAGATTCTCAGTCATCCAGGTCATGATTGTCCCAAAGGTGCTTTTTCAAGGAGCAACTGATTTCATATCCCTCCCCCTCTGTTGAACAATCTCCAGTTTACAACACAGTCCTTTCAGCAATTCCAAGAAGGCTCCACACCCATTTGCATCACTCAGGTGACTTTTACGACACAGATAAACCTCCAGGTGGCCTCAACAATTGTCTAAAAGAATGCAAATGACCAGAAGTATAAATCCTTCCATTCCCCACAATCCAGTCAGAGCTAAAGAAGCTTCTTGGACGAGAAGCAAAACGTCTTCAAAGAAAAACAAGAAAGTCCAGTTGTGTCTTGAAAAAGCACCTTTGGGACATCAGGAACAGGTATTCCTTGATTTATGGCCACAATTTGGGACCAGAATTTCCATTGTAAATCATTGCCATCATAAGGTGAGTCATCTTGTGACTGAACCTGATTTTACTGCCATTTTTATGACAGTCATAAGAATCGTGGTTATAATTTAAGCCATGCAGTTGTTAGTGCAAATCCAGCTAAGCAATAGTTTTTGTCAGAAATCAGCAAAAAACATTACAAATCTTGATCACAGGATATTGCAACAGATTGTAAATCAGTTGCTAAGTACCCAAAATATGATCACATGATTGCAGGGATGAGGCGACAGACATAAGTTCAAATTTAAGTTGTAACTGACTTTTTCAGAGATTGTCATTAATTCAAGCCATCATTAAGAAAATGGTTGTAAGTGAACGACTACCTGTATCTAACCTATAGATTATTGAAAAAGCCACAGTTGACCTAGTTCATATATTATGCTATGCCTGAACCAACTACTCCCATCCTAAGCACTTCCCCTGTATGAGGACTCCAACATCCTGAATTCTCAACTAGTATTATTATAATGTGTAAAGTTAGAAACTAGGAGGTGTGAGTTCTAGTCCTGCCTTAGGCATGAAAGCCAGCTGGGTGACTTTGGGCCAGCCACTCTGCCTCAGCTTAATTTATCTTAAGGGCTTGCTACTGTGGGGAAAAAATAGGGATAGGAGCATTAAGTATGCTTGCTGGATTGAGTTATTTATAAAAATAATAAAGGCGGGATTTTAAAAAATATTTTAAAAAGCCCGTGATGGTAATGTTCTTTAATGTACCTGGTCTTTTTGTCTTTGGCAGAATGTGGGGTAACAAGATTGGAGATGAAGGAGCAAAGGCTTTTGCAGAGGCATTGAGAAATCACCCCACTTTAACCAATATCAGGTCAAATATTTATGAGTAGACTGATATTCATGCCACATGTCCCCCCAAAGGCCCGCTAGATTTCAGTATTGTTCAATGTGCATTGCAAAACTAGCATGAACCTTTTATGCAGAATCTCAATATACTGGTGTCACTTCGATGTTACCTCTCTTTTCTTCTTCATCCTATCCTCCAGAGCAGCGGTTCTCAACCTATGGGTCGCGACCCCATTTGGGGTCGATCGATCATTTTTCGGGGGTCTCCAAAGGCGGCAATCCGCCATTTTCTCCCCTCCGGGGGCGCCGCCGCGCATGGGGGGCGCCGCGCATGCGCATAACATTTGTGTGACGGGGGGCACCGTCACACAAACGTTGAGAACCGCTGCTCCAGAGCATTACAAAGCCATTTTTTAAATTCCCCCCAATGCCTTTTCCAGAGCCCTACTTACACAGTTATAGTATTGGAAGAAATGCAAAGCCTGGCTAGGTAGAACAACCAAATACTCTTTGGAGAAATACCTTTGCGGACAGTTGGGTCACCTTTCTGCAGGCCTTGGATTCTACTCTGATCATGATCACTCAAAATTGCTATTAGAATTTCCTCCTATTTTGAGATAATTAAATATGAAAAATTAAATGGGCATATTAAAGCTAAAAAATAAAATTTCTCAAAGTTGCCCAAATATCCTTCTACCAACAGAAAATCTCTTTTCTGCCATCAAGTAATTGTCTCGATTTTTGCAACTTAGATATGATAGCCCAAAACATGAATTATACAGTCACACTCTGGGATCCCCCCCCCACATATCAGTACAGCTCTGAGACCCCAGTAGATCGACCAGTTCAAAAGAAGACATGAGCTTTTTTGAAAAGGAATTTTGGCACCTGTGGAAGTCTAGACCTTTTTGATTTGACAGCCCGGAAAGGGAGGCAGGCACCAGTATGTGCACGTGTGCAAATGGACCGTGTGCATGCTCAAAAATGAGCCCCATACGCATGTGCACAAATGGGTTGCGCATGAGTGCATGTGCATACATAAACAGCTGTCACGGGTGCATGCCCACATGTAAATGGCCACACACGAGCACATGCCCACATGCAAATTGGGCTGTGTGGGTGCTAGTGCTGCAAATGGGGTAGCACTAGCACTGGCGGGATGCTATGGGCGGCACTAGTACCTAGCGCTGGTGGATGCTCAGGGCAGCACTAGTGCCGGTGGGATGCTCGGGGGCAGGATTGCACTAGCGCCAGTGGGATGTCAGGGCAGCACTAGCGCCGGTGGGATGCTAGGGGTCGGGTGGCACTAGTGCTGTTGGGACACTTGGGACGGTGTGCTAGCGCCAATGGGATGTTTGGGCTGGCGCTAGCATGAGTGTGAGCCACAATAGTGGGCCATGTCCCACAGATTGGGGACCCCTGGTCTGGAGGAGCTGATAAACATTTGGCAATGGATTTTAAAGAATAAAGTAGAGCATCAACCATTTAAAACCTGAAATGTAAGTGATGTTTTACAGTGTGTCAGTTAGAAAATGATATTGTCAGTCTACATTTGACTATACAAAAACCCATTAAAACAAAATAGGCATTAGCATCCCCTCAAAATTTAACAAGGAGACTTTTAAAATATAACATTACATCTGCTGGTTTAAATAAGAAATATAGGCATTTCTAATTCCTCCACAAGATGGCAGGCTTTACGGGATTTCTTTTGGATAAATGCTGTCATTTAGCTATGCATATTTTTTAAAAAGGCAGACATGTAAGCTCAGTGGCATAAATACACTCACGGTAGGATGGCTTTCATATGGAAAAATATAAAAATAAAATTGGCTTCATTGAAGGAACATTCCCCCAGAGGAACCTATGCATTTTTTTTTATTGAAAGTTTTTTAAATTTTACAAAACAAATCCCCTCCCCGAAACCCCCCCACCCTCCCATACCCTCCCCCCCTCCCCAAACCACCCAAACCCTCCCCCAACCTTCCCAGAGTACAGGCTTAATTAAAATTTTTCAAAAAAAAGAAAAGAAAAACTTAAAACACATATAAATCCTAAACAAATCTAAATACCTTAAATTAAATAGGTTATCTTCTCTAAAAAAATAATAATTACAATCCTTAAACACATTATAATATACTCTAAACATTTTCTAATATCATACTTATAATATTATTCATCATTCTGTATAAACTCCCTCCAAAACACAAATTTAAACATTACTTTCTTTGAACATCTATACGTACAATATAAATCTAATCTCTCCCTCTTTCTTTATCATAAAACAAAAAAAAAATAAACATATAAACCTTCATTATACCATTGAAACAAAACACTTTGAATACTTAAGCTAAATACTTAAACTTAAACTTTAAACAAATTATCTTCTCTTAAAAATAATAATAATACTCTAAACCTTTTACTTATATTCCATCATTCTTTTAAACTCCCTCCAAAATACAAATTTAACATTACTTAAAATTTAAAACATTAAAATCCCCTTATACGGATTTAAATCTTTACCAATAACAAATACCATCTTAAACACATTGTAATATACATCTTTACCAATAACAAATTGCTTAAAAATAATAATAATAATAATAATTAAAAAAAACCCAAACATTGAAGACATTGTAATATACTCCAAACCTATTCATAACATACTTATATCAAATAAATACCTAAACAAAATACTTAAACTTAAACTTCTTATCTAAAATTTTCATTCAGTCTCCATATCAGTCTCTCTTGCCCATAAGCATCGAAAGAAATGCGTTAAAATCTGCCCTTGAAGATCGCTCCCAAAAATTTGTAAGTCCTGGTTCTCCCACAAACTCAGGAACCAATACCTGTGAAGCTTCCTCAAGCTCCTTCTTCTGTTGGTCTTTCTCTTTACGTTTATATGTTACTTTTTCTTTACATTTATATGTTACACAAGTCTCAGGAACCAATACCTGTGAAACTTCCTCAACCTCCTTTTCTTTACGTTTATATGTTGAACAAGTTGTCTTCTGGTCTTTCATCTCTTGTGGAACTTCCTTGAGCTTCTTCTGTTGATCCTTTTCTTTACAGTTATATATTGCATAGGTTATCTTCTGCTCATCCATCTCTACTTGTTGAGGCCTCCCATTTTTAATTAATATAGGCTCTTCAGACTGCAATTCTGGCATTAAAGGTTGCTCCAAAGAATTTATAAATCCTACTTCTCCCTCAGATTCAGGAACCAATACTCGTGGAACTTCCTTAAACTTCTTGTGTTGATCCTTTTCTTTACAATTATATGTTGCACAGATTGTCTTCTGCTCCTCCATCTCTACTTGTTGGGGCCCCTCAAACTGCAATTCTGCCTTTTTTTCTTCCAAAGCTTTAAGCATGGTAGGTGACGATGAGCATACCCCCAGGACCGAAGTATAAAAATCTTTTGCTTTAGAAACAGTATTAAGACTATAACGTATCCCCAGGTAGCTCAACACCATTCCAGTCGGAACATCCCATCTAAACAAAATTTGTCTCTTTTTAAGTTCGTCTGCTAAAAAAGCAAACTCCTTTCTTCTTCTTAAAATTTTTTGTGGGATCTCCTTTAAAATTATAACATCTTGTAAAGCAATTTGAAACCTCTTCTTATAAAAGGCTTGTATAATTTCATTGCGCAGGGATCTTTTCCCAAAGTAAATTACCACGTCTCTTGGCAAATTCTTTTGCTCTGCCACCACAGAGTTAACTCTAAATATCTGATCAATTCCACTAAGTATTTCCTCTTCTTCTCTATTCAGAATCACAGCAAAGTCCTTTGCCACCATCTTTCTCAAATCTCCTTGCACAGACTCATGTAAACCTCTGATTCTTAAGGCATATTCCATTTGTTTATATTGAAGCATAAGAGTCTCATCTTGAAAGTTTTTCATCTCTTTTTCCATACTTTCAAATTTTTCCTCCATCAATTCCAATTTTTCTACTACCTCTTCTACACGAGAATTCAACTTTTCAAGAACAGAGGCAACTCCTTTTAAAGTCAAAACTATCTCTTGCTTCAAAGTCTTATTTTTTTCCTCTAAAATCTCTTTCATTTCTCCCCTAATTTGAAGTATAACATCTCTCATCATATCTTGCATGTCCTTCACCATTGTTGACTGTGGCAAGGAAGAAGGTGAAACTATTAATTTAGATTGTTGCCCTGATGATAACACCGAAGAAGAAGCCACCTTGGAAGCTGTAGAGATTACTGGATGCTTTGGAGCCATCTTAAAAAAAAACTTTACTCCTTCTTAAAAATTGCAAGAATTAAGCAAAAAAAATAAGAAATTAGCTCCATAAATTAAAAAAAAAAAATCCTTGAAGAGGGGATCATTATGATAAAATAAAAAAAGGGAGTTCAAAAAAGAAAAAGGAGAAGAAAAAAAATAATTAAATAGAAAAAATCCATTCCATTTTTTAAAAGTACCAAAAAGTACAAAATACAAAACACAAAAATTAAACAAAAATAATAATACTAACACTCCATTCCAATCATAAAAAAAAACAAAAAAGAAAAAAGGAAAGGGAAAAAAAAAGAAACACCAAAAATGCTTCTAAAATCCATAAAAGCCGATCGCCATTTTCTTTTCACTTTCATCAAAATAAAAAGAAAAAAAGAATAAAACATCATTCCAATCATTAAAAGGAAAAGAAAAAAAAAGAAAAAGGGGAAGAAAAACACCAAAAAAACCTACCGATCACCATTCTAGCTTCCCAAAAGAAAAAAAAGATAGAAAAAACACCGGAAAGTCTGCCGATCGCCATTTTACTTTCCCTTTCAGCAAAAAGTAAAAAATAAAAAGAGGGAATATAAACGTAAAAATAAATCTTTAAACAAAATCCATATAAAGTCAAAGAAAGCAAAAGTTAAATCCTATAGTCAACTCTGTCCGCTTCTAAGAAAAACTCACCAGATCTCTTTAAACGCGGAGGTGGTTGCAACGGCTTGTTTTGTCCCTAGGAACAAAAGCAGCTGGGAAGCGGAGACAGTCTGAACTCCATGGGAGC